GTGTGATGAATGCAAACCAAACTATTATTTACTTAACAACAAATGTACACAATTAGTTCCGCATTGTTCGCGTTATATAGCAAGTAAATGTCAACAATGTGATATAGGTTTTTATTTAAAGAACAATAAATGCAACAGTTTGTTTGAATATTATAATGTATAATATATTAATAGAATTGTATTAATACATAGAAATTCTTGTGAAGAATTGCCTTCGTGTAGACTCTGATGGCATATGCACTGAATGTTATGGTGTATTATATCCCAATCGAAACAACAACACTTGTGTCAGTGGTAATTATATAGAAGGATGTTTGAAGTATAACAACACTGAAACGTGTACTTTATGCGATGACAAGTATTATTTGGATGACAACAACACGTGTTCAAGTTTGTAATTGTGTCAATTAAATTACTTTGAGTAACACATAGAGTGTATCGACAATTGTTCTAAATGTACATACGCGTCACAATGTTCTGTGTGTGCACCGGGGTTTTACACTTCTTTTAATAAACAATGTGAAGAATGCACATTCAACGAAACAACAAATTGCACAAGTACAACGCCGATACTAGCGTGTTCATCGTGTAACAGGCATTGTTCCTATAACGATGCAAATTCCGAGTGTTATGAATTTGACAGTCATTGTCAGACATTTTTTGAGAACAGTGATTATTGTGAGACTTGTGAAATGGGGTACGGATTATCATACGACACCAAATCGTGTTATGAAATCCCTGCAAACCGGTGTCGATCGACTTCGCACAATTTAAAAGGGGAAATAGTATGCACTGAATGCTTCTCGGGCTATTTCTTGACATCTTCATACACCTGCGAATTGTGTTCTGCAGAGTGTAAAACGTGTGTAAACACGTCAACTACTTGTTTTGATTGTCAAAAGAATTCCGCGCCAATTTCATCAATGTGTCGCCTATGCGATGTGAAACATTGTTTAGAGTGTTCCAAGTATTCTGAGGTGTGTGAAGTGTGTGCTTCAGGCTATGAACCCAGTTCTGGATATTGTAAGGAGAGTTCATGTATCAAGCGGAATGAGTATAATGATTGTTTGTTATGTCAACCATTGACTGTAGATGCGCTTTATTCTTTACCGGATGACAAAGGAAGATGTCTAAACAGAGATGATGATGATAACTCTTCAGCAGGCTTAATGAGTGCTTCAATAGGTCTATTGATCCTTGTGTTGTTACTTTTGTGATACCATAGAAACAAGAGATACCCCTTGTAATATATCAACAACTTATTTTTGTTTATTTTTGTCTATTACATATCATCTAAATGTTATAATACAGTGTTCTAAGTTTAGTATAAGAAAGAGGAATAGTTCCGGCACATTTCAGAATGAAAAATGAATGATAAAATCAAAACAATCAGAAATAAAGGTATTCAGATGAACTTGTTATTCATTAAAATGGCAAAGATAAGATCACAAATTGTTTTGTCGCAATACGGAGTCGCTGGAGAACCATGTAGCGGCGTTGTATTTATGACGGTTTTGGCTCCGTCTTTCGTCCAACGCATTTTTGTCGAACTGAAACAAGACGACGTGAAGAAGACGTGCGACGAGAGAAACACTTTTCGCCACGAGAACGACCCAGAACTTCTTACAGGCGGTACTAAGACACAAAACACTTTGATCAACACTTTTGAGTGCAGCGGATTTGTGCCAAATGTCAAGACTGAGTACGCTTTTGGCACTTACTCGTTCTCTTTCATGTTTACTCTCCCTCCTTCCTTCCCACCGTCTTTAATTGTCCCCAACAAACCATTCAAATCGACGTATTCTCTTCACCCCATTGTGTACGAATCTGATGGAAATCGGTTTGAAGGAACTTCATGTGATTTTCCAGTGCTATACAATTACGACGTACCAGAACAAGTTCCCGTCGTTGTGAGTAAAATGTTGGGGAAGATGGTGGTGACTGTGGCACAGAATCAGATGGGGTATTTACAAGGAGATGATATGGATGTGACCTTGTCGATTCTTCCAAACAATTCTAATGTGAAGGAAGTAACCATTGCGCTTGTGGGAGTGTATAATGAAGGGAGTAGTTGCATTAAAACGGTCTACAATCAAGCAAATCTCAAAATTGATCCGATCAACCCGACTATAGGGCAGTCCATTATGTTTCCGATATCATACACAACAAACCCATCGTTCATCACATTCACACAGAATTATCGACACTTTATATCAGTCAAATGTATCATTCAAGGAATCTTAAATTCAACTGCAGAAACGTGTTTCCCAGTGAAGATCATAGCGAGAAAACCACATCAAGAGATGATAGACGTCTACGCCAATTACTTGGGAGTCAAGATTTGTCCAAACGAAGTCCCGACATTCTGTGACGGTCGAATGGAACTGCCCCCACAATACCCAACAACTATTAAAGATGGCGTGGAGAAGGTGCAGACCCTCGACGGAAGAGTGTTGTACTTAAACCATATGAATCGAACAGTAAGTAATGTTGAAAATGGAGAACCATTGATTGATACAGTATATCCACTCTGGAAGAGTGTGTTATTACCCCCTGGTATCACTTTTGGTAAACACAAAAACAAAGAGTGTGTGTTCGACCATATCAATAAGAAGGTGATTTGGAATAGTATGTTTGATATCACTCCACAAGCGCTATTGAGTGATATCACCAACCCATGTGTATCTATTTTTGTATTAGAAGCGGCAGGTCTCAAGTGCAGAAATGCAAGTTCCCCACCAGCAGTTTATGCTGCAGTGGTGGGTGGTGATGGTAAAATGACCAAATCAAAAGAAATCAAATCAACAGAGCCGATATTCCAGAACGTCGAGTTTAATGTGGTTCCAGAAAAGAATCGGAGAAATGTTGTTGTCTATTTGTATGACAAACGAAGTTTGTTGAGCGACGAATTAATAGGATCTGTCGATATCGACTTATCAAAATTGCCATTCCCATCGTTCATTGAGAGTTGGTTTGAGATCACTAACTCCCCGTTTGGCGATGAAGCGTTCACTGGTAAAGTCAAATTGAAAATTGGGTACGACAGATATCCACACCGTATCACAGACGATTGCAAGACAATCGTCGAGTTCAATTCAGCGTGTTTCATCCCATATTACCCACCAACAGAAAATATGGTAAAACAAGCTGAAATGCAAATGGCATATCACAAAAAGAACTTGACAGAGCCCTACATTATCAGTAGTAATGGCACTGTCGTTAACACTACTTTTGACCTTTCTAGAGTAATTAACTGACTTTCTGTGTGTGTTGTTTTTATTTCTTTGTATTATATTCTAATAATAATAAATTACAATAATAATATATAATATATTATTATTATTATAATATTAATATAAATTAATTTAGAATAAAGTAAAATTATAGTTTGATTATTATTAATGTTTGATTTATTATTATTATGAATTGAACATTCAACACAACATAAACTTGAACTGAAAAGATAGAAGAAACATGTCGAAGAACACAACTCTGATAGAATCGATGTTTTGTCGTGGCTGTGGGTGTCCTCTGATTATAGACGAAAAAATTCGGACCATCACAAATACATATGAAAGTGGAGATGGTTCTCCTTTGAAATTTTCTGAACGAGAAACACCAACAAACACTCCACTGGGAAAAGAATTTGTTGAGCCATTTTCTTCTACTCGTCCTCAAAAGTTTGGGATGAGTAAAAGTACTTCATCGCACATCAACGAAAAAATTGAACCGTCCAGTTTTACAACTGGGGACATTCAAATGTCCATGTCACCGCCAGAGATTTTGTGTCCAACAGAGTTCTCGAAATATTCAAAGAGGAAATCGCACAGTTTGTCTACTAATACTATACATATTATTTTGTTTAGTATGGTTTAATACAAAGACTTTTGTATTAAAGCCACAGTCTTTTTTTATAAGTTAATACTCATATTCACGCACAGACATGACCAGCAAGAAGTTCTTTTCATCAAGAAGAAAAATTAAGTGCGGGGGGTTGACACCGACTGAGAAGAATGAAAATTTGCCCGGGTTCGAGTTTTACCAATGGTTTGGTGCGATGCTTGAACAATTCGAGGATTTTGGAATCCCGTGCAAACACTGTTATCCGGTCCAACGCGCGGACTGTGAAAGTACACTAACGGACCTTCAAAATGACATCGACATGATAAAAATTGCGACGTGCACGTTGTTTGATGACGTCCAAAAAGCAGATCACGAAATAGCAACACTTACCAGTGAAATAGAACATCTTGAGAATGAAGTGGAGAGTTTAGTACACGTCAATTTAGAGCTCAAAGATAAAGAACATGCAGTGAGAAAAGCTGGCAATATAGTTAACAAGAATGTCATTCAATTTGTATACATAGAAGGAGCTTTTGTCGAGATGGGCATGAGACTGAAAGAAAAGGTGATACGAGAAAGAGGGAGTCGATACCTTTTAAGTAATTTACCGGCACAAAAGGTATCGACATGGGATCAACTCTTTCGAAAGAGTCTGATCATCCCCGACACATCTTCGATGAGTTTCATCAACAAAATCACTCGAGCAGTTTGTCTTTAGAAAACTCGATGTTATAGTACATATATAGTATTCAAGTACTTAATGAATAGAAGCCTATCCCAATCATTTTCGGGATGTTATATAGTCAACTCAAGTGTTTGGCTAACATGTTGAATTATGAATATCAATGCGCACAAAGCACCACATTTGGAAAACAAACGAAAGACGCATTTGTGTTGATACCAAAAGACTTTGGCACGACTAAGAAGTATAATCGAATGGTCCTGCAATGCTTCTTAAAAATGCTATTGGAACTGAGCAACGTCTTGTTGTTGGAGTCTGGACAGATGTTCTTCTTGGTTTATAAGTTTGTGTTCTATTTTTATACTTAAAAATACTAGGAAGTTCAGAATAAATGGTGTGACAAACAGACTAACGGACGACTCCATCAATGGGATGGACTTCCTGGCATATGACTCGAAGAAGTGGTTTGTCGCACTCGAGTGCTTCTTGACAAACACAGAGACTTGCTACAAATGGATTCTGCGGTTAAGGAGGTGCAAGTGAGCGACGTGTTACATGTGTATGTTATATAGTATCATTTAGTTGATTTAATTATAGTTAAATAGTTTGTTTTTTGGTTGAGTATTTTCAGACGTGGTTGTAAAAATGGATAACAACTATTTTATATATATATTTTATTTATAATTTCTAGTTTAGGCCACATTTGTTTTTCGCACATGTGAACTTCACAAATCAAACAAAACAATACACAAAACTAATTACTTTTCATTGTTTCCAATTCTTTCGTAACTGACGCCAATCTAACCCATTTGATTTTATTGAATCATAAAATAATAAAAAATAACTTAAATATAATAAAAAAATGGTTTAGTGTTAAAAAGTATCAGAAGTTACTCTCATTAACTTTTTTATAGTAAACTCAAGTTTAATTTAAAAAAAACGAATAAATTGATAAAACACCGCTTAGAAAGAATAAAATAATAAATAGTAAAAAGAATTAAAACTGAAAAACCAAATGAGTAGCAAAAAGTCGAAGAAGGAGAAGAAGGAAGTTCTTGGTGACATTGATCAACTGTTTGAACTTGTCGAGATACGTTCACAAGATATTTCGCAACAATTAGTTAAAGTGTCTGAGACGATCACTTTACTCAAATCTCATTTGAATTCGTTGTCGAATATGGTTACAAACTCGTCGTACGAGTCATCGTATTCAAACACACTGAAAGCATCGACTGCATATCAAACGCTAGTCAGTGACTCACTTAAAAACATCGTTTGTATATTATTAAAAAATGTACTGTATCACATGCAATACAAATCACGAGAATATCACTGATATGTAGGGCGGGATATTCGAAAAATTGTCACAGGACTTGAAATACAACTTATCGTTGGACGATATCACTTGCTCGGACGACCCAGAAATATCAAAAATCCACCAAAACAAGAAATCGAATATATGTAGGTATGCAGCAATCTCTTCATTCGCTTTAAGAATCGACAAGTATTTCCCGACGATTGGAAAAGGCGGACAGTTTGATGCGGTGGCCAAAAAAGTGATGAAAGAGTTTCGCGAAGATACAGAAGCAAGTGTGTCCTATCGGACAAAGACTTTGCGACAAATTTTGGACGACGAAAAGACACCCCCAACCCGTCTACCTGTTGGCATAGAGAGGATTATGACAACAATAGCGAATTCCGGTTTGTTCTTTGTTAGTATAGTTAAGTAATAGTATAAAACATATTAATAAAGAGAAGGAGATAAAACCACATTATTTCGACTGTCTTCTGATACTGAGAGAATAAACAATTACTTCGATGAAATTAGAATAGTCGACACAAAGACTCTTGACAACACTGTTCTATCTTCAATCCTCAAAAAATTCATACGAGACCTTCCACAACCAATTTGGCCCGAGGAATTCTTGCAACCACTTGTGAAAGTTATGGAGAGCGAAGATAAGAACAAAGTCATCAACGACATCAGGAGACTTATCATAAAATTCCCCATCGAGAACCAAATCTTCATTCGACGTCTTCTTCTTCTCTGTAAGAATGTGACAAACACAAAGGACACAAAAATGAATTCGCAAGCAATTGCGGTTTGCCTTGCTCCTGGTTTGATGAGAAAGGCTGATATGGGGTTCACGTCAATAGCAGTGATAGCACCAGTTCTGAACAACGCATTATCAACAATGATCGACTACCAAGAGGAAATTTTCGTTTGTTTGAATAGTATTCTATTCTTATTCTATAACTCTTTTATAAGAACACTTGATTCTTCTTATAATATTAATAATATTAATTATAACAATACTATTGTAACCTCGTAATAACTGAATAGCAGGAAATAGAATCACTAAAGACCATCGAAGTGCTTTCAGAGCAAGAGATATACGGAATATACCCGGCTCTCTTTGACGGAGTATGTTACTCCGATTCTCAAGACGGCCCAGCCCTCAACGTCGACCCAAAGTTCTTACGAACTTTCAAGCGACAGCGAAAGAGTAGCCTTGCTTCCATGCAACCTTCAAACCCACTTGTCTGAGTCTTTTAACTCCCTAATCTATAATTAATAGCTTTCCAGATAGTTCAAATATTAGTTCGACGTTTTGAACACGAACAAAACAAATTCTATACATATAGTAAATACAAACTACACTTCATTGTTCACAAAAAATTCTGTAAGAGTAGAACTCTCAAGAGAATTTACAATCCATCTCAGATGTTTAAAGACACAACACATCTTTTGAAGGAAGAAAATTATGAACCCGTCCCTGCGTCGAAGGATCGGGTGTGGACTTTGATTAAACGAAATAAGAAGATTATGGTGCATATTATCCTCCACCACGTCATCCAACTCATCTTGTTGGTTGTTGGGTTTTCGCTTGTGTGCTGCGAGTTTTTTGTCCACCCCCAAGAGAACGGAAAGCTTCTCTCGGCCATCGCAATTGGACTTTCAGGCTTTGCTTTCGTTGTGTATTTGTTCATTCTGGCTTTTATGGTCATGGCGGTGAGGACACACCCGGTGTTCACATTACTCACTGATGTGAAGCGCCCCAACCTCTTCGTCAAACTCGCAAACCTCTTCCACACCCTTTACATGATCGCGTTATGTGCGTCGTTTTTCACAGCCATTGTCGTCTCGATTTCATTCGACGCCGTGCTCAAAAAGAATTTCTCGATGGGTGGACTTTATGTAGTCGTTATCGTCGATATCATTTACTTGCAACTTTCTTGTGGTGAGCTTCAAAAGCCATTCAAGTTTATAACACGGAAAATCGACCAAGTTGAAATGGGGGACAAAACTGATGATAAGTTACAGGACCAATACAAAGAGGATGTTGGTGTGATCACATATGGGTATAACCTTCTTGGGTTCCAGTGTTACTTGAAGTATCACTTTGATCCGAATGAGGGGCACATTCAGTCGGAGGTGTATTTCGTAGGATGGGTCAAGAATTTTAATTGAAAGACTTCAGTTATTGTATTCTCTTCAGTGGAGACAAAGACAAAGACAAACTAAAACATCAGTCAATTGTTGGGTAATGCAACACTTTCATTATCTGGAAGAACATATTGATCTCTTCGTTGTTCTTTGTGTTCGCATTCGACTCAATCACGGGGTGGATGTAATTGTCGTAAGTCGTTTGCATAATCTTGACCATTTGTAATGGACGCTCCAATGCGTCCGCGTTGAGTGCCATCTCAAGTAACACTCGAATAAACAAATTGTTGATCTCCTCGTTCTGTTTTTCAAGGCCTTGTTTCTCCCCTCCTTGCTTCTTCTCTAACTTCTTGTTGACATCTTCTAAAATCGTTATTGCTGGAGAGAACAAGTGCATTCGCCGATGATACCGCGCAAACTCAATTTGATTCAATATCTCAAGCTTCTCAAATTTCTGGATAAGTGCGTTGTACGCGGCACTTGACGTCTTCTTGTTACTCAAATATTCAAATGTCTTTTTGTGGTGTGTCAGCGCATACTGTCGGACAACGTACAACTCCTTTGTGTTCAAATCTCTGCAGAACAAAATTGAATACGTTGCTGTTTTGTCAAGGGTTTGATTCAAATTGGCGTTGGCGTTGTAAAAGAGCATGAAGAATTGCGTTTCGATGAGTTCTTTAAGAATCACAGCCATTGTGCAAATGTCTTCGACCATAAATTGATTGTCCAAATCGCAATTTCGTATGTTGGTCTCTAAAACCTCCACAAGCCTCACTAATAGTTGTGAGAATTCGGAGTTGAAATTTGTTCTATCTGCACGCTCCATTGTGAGTTTTTGACACATTTGATAAACGCACTGCAAACATGGGTTTCCATTTGTGTACTCTTTCTCCCCTTCCTCCGGTAAATTGAACAAACATGTCGACATCAAGTCGTTGATTCTTCGCTTCTCCTCTTCCGTTTGTGCCATTTTAATTGCGGCTTCGCCATACTTCATTAACGGCCTGTACAAATTCAACATGAGTGCCAAATCTATCTTTAACTCGGCTGCATATCGATATTCTTCGTCGTTGTTTGCTTGCATCTCCGTCAGCAAATCCTTTGTGATATTGTGCAACGACTCCGCATGTGTCGGGAATTGTTCCATACAATATTTGAGTCTCTGATTTTTCATCATTGGTGCGAGTAGTTTGTACTTCTCGACTGGATTGTTCACAAGAAACGTGTAAAGTTGTGACACTAACTCCGGCTTCTGGTACTTCACAAAATTCTCTGTCAAAAATTTGATGCCTTTCCCATAGAATTTCATCGCATCACTGTCGTACAAACACAAGTCCCCGACACTCACGTTATTCTCACACATCACTTCAAGCATAATTACTTCGTTTTTGTCCCTTCTCTTGTTATATATCAATTTGAGTGTTTTCACTATTTCTTGGTTACTCGACACGTTCATCACAATTGCAACAAACAGCCGTTCTGCAAGTTTCAAGTTCGTCAAAACAATGTCTCCGAGGAAGTTGTCCGGTTCGAGTTTCTTTAACAACACACTGACAAACACACCAACCCACTTTTCTGTATGATACTCGTTTGGTATTTTGTTATTCACAATTTCAACAAACAGTGACATCAAATCGGTGCCTTTCAATCGTTTCACAAACTTTTCGACGTATCGAGTCGCAGTGCTTGGATTCTCCATACCAACACTTCTAACACTCAACACCATGTCGTCTTCCGCAATCATCATTTCCAAAAAGTCGATCCTCTGCGTTTCAACAACATTTCTCTCCGCATTTGTAAAATATTTGGACATCGCTTTTAATACCATTTCTTCGCGCTTTCCACATTTGCTTAGAACGTCCATGTACTGTGTCACCAACTTCTCTTCTCCACTGAGTTGTGTTTTTGACTCGGCCAATTTGTCAAAGAGCTCTCTCCCCAATACCATTATTTGGCGTCTTGCTTCATCAGTGTCGATACCAATGAGTATTTCCAAAATCGATTTTAATCGTTCGCAAAGTGGAGTTTGACACATCGACGCGTCGTTCCCAGTTATTTGTTTTAAGTACGCCACATACTTCTCAGAGACCTTCCCAACAACAGCAGTCGCTTTGATCTTCTTTCTTTCAACAAACTCCTTGACACACGCAAAGCAATCGTACGGTATAAATCGATTTGTCAGCAAATTGTTCATTTCATTGTCAAATCGCGGATCAACCAAATACCCTTTTACCAATGGGACATACTCCTCTTCATGTTCTTGCGTCGCTTCATACAAAAACTTCTTTCCTTCTTCATACAAAATTGGTGGATCTGCTCTGGCACATGCAATCAAGAATTCCTTAATTAACGATTTGTCGACTGAAGGATCATATTCAGTCAATTCGTTGTAAGACATCAGCGGCTTCTTTGCTTCACTTCCCCAAATCGTCAAAATAGAGTCAATGCAATCCGTCAACCGTTTCATGTTGTGCTTCGTTTGGTTGACAAGAGTCTTTGGCTTCGACCCCAACATGTTCTGCGCTTGTATTTTGAAGTTATTCACAACTACTTTGTAACACGGTTGGAACAACGAGTCGTTGTCGTGTTCCTGATTTGCGCATTTCTCCATGATAGACACCAACACCGGTGTATCACTCAATGGGTGCATTTTCTCGTTCACTCTGAATCTTTCCCAGTTCATAATCAACTCACTCAAGTCAATGCATTTAATCATTTCACGCCGCTCTTCAAAGTGTTCAATTGACCTCAAAATGGTCGGCACAAAAAGTCTTCGTTGTTGGTAAAACACATAGAAGTATTTGACTGGAAACGTGAATGGAAGGACATTCTCTTGATACGTCGAGTTGATGTGTCTCAAAATAATTTTGCATATATTCTGCTGTTCTTCGCTGTTCGACTCGAAGAAGTGTTGAATTGTTTCAATCTCGATATTGCCAATTGAAATCGAGTTGAAATAAATTTCGTTGATCGGAAGTTCAAGCAACTCTTCGAGTAACTTGTCTAAGAACAACCCGCACCCCGGTTTGTATACCAACAACTGCGCATGTAACTTCAAACAAGCATTGTGTAATGATGTTGGCGAGGAGTTGTTTTCCAAAATGACACTTCTTAAGGGTTCAAGGAACTCTTGACTGATTGACACTGCTTCGATAAATACATGGAGCTGTGTACCTTGGACCTCATCGAAAATCGTCACATTTGGTGTGTTTGGAACAACCATCAGCATTTTCCTCAACTCGTCCATCACATTCCCATTAAACTCTTTTGTGTGCGTTCGAATCAAAGGAACAACAATAAATTGCATCGCATAAACCAACAGTCTCCACCTCCCTTCAACTGCTTCGTTAATCGCCCGCATTGTCAAAAACACGTTTTTCACGTCAGTCGGGAAATTTTTAATAAAATGGAGCATCACGAATTGGAATTTTTCTTGTTCGCTTGTTTCAAGTGTCACAAGAATTTGTCGGAGAAGCTCTGGATTATTCATTTGGTATCTCGAGATGTTGAGCAGTATTTTTGTGTAATCGATGACAACTTCGTCACTTGGTTTAGTCGTGTTATACGACAAATTAATAATCGCGTTGTTCATGTCGTCTGGCATTTGTTTTCTTTGTGAAAACTTCACAAAGAAACGAAGAAGTGCAATTGGTCCGTTGTCCTTCTTCCAGAGTGAATTTGGGTCGCCGAGGAGATGTTGGAATACCAATGGGAAGATGTCAAGGTCGGGCATTGTAGCGAGTAGATATAAAATTTTTGGAGCACTGTCTTGTTCAGCCATAATGGTTGCAACACTTTGTTGTGGGTTCAAATTCAAAACCCTTTTAAGTGACTGGATAATACATAAAATGTGTCTGTACTCATACATTCCTTTAAGCTCTGTAATGACTCCGCATATCCCTTCCGCATTGTACTTATGAACAAAAAAGTCGTCTAATTGACTCACGAACTTGTGCACTGGTACTTTGTTCACAATGTCAGTTGAAACTTGTTCGATGCTCTCACTGACAATTTGCTGCACTTTGTCTTTCAACTGCCCTTTTCCTTTTCGCAAAATGAAACTGAACAAATTGGTGTGTCTATATCTCCCGATGTTGAGGAGGTCGATTTTGTTCAGTTCTTCTTCAACCATCGTCGGGTTGGTTTCAAAAAGCTTTTCAAGTACGGCACAAAAGTGGCTCGATATATTCACATCTTTGCTTTGTGTGCACTCGCGTACAAACTGAGTGAATCTTTGTTGATCGCAACACTTCAACATCAATGTCTCAAGTCGAATGATGTACTGTCGTGGTATTTTTATTTTCAATATTGTATCGACCTTAGACTTGAATGCTTGATGTGTTTTGAATTTGTCCACCATGAATTCCAATATCGATAATTGATATCCAAAAATATCATTGAAATTGTAATTCGTTGGGTCGATGTCAAATGACAGTAACAGAGATATCTCTGGATGTTGCGAATTTCTTTTGAAGAATTCAATGATGTAAGGAACACCTTCTGGACTATCTGAAGTAATAACAGACACAAATAAATCGTGCAACCATCTTGGGAGTGAGTCATCAATTGTTTGTATGATAGAGTCCAATGACGTTGGACTTAATAATGAATCCAATATTCGATTGATAGTTCTATTGTGATACATTCGTTGTGTAACATCGAAAAGATATCTCACAACAATGTGACTTTCAACAGAAAGCCAATCCGTGTATTTGAGAGAGTATTTAAGAATGAATTCCACCGCATGCAAATCAAAGGACAAGCCTTGCTCGTGCTTTCCAATCAAACTCACGAAATATACCAACCCCTCCCTATTCGGTTCTAACCCCCCAGTTTCGCTCACCAAATTTAAAACATCGTCACACACTGCTGTAAACCCTTTCTCATCTTCTAGAGTCTCAACATCTTCCAAAAAGTTGACAAACCCCTCGAACATCATTTTCATTTCCCTCTTCATTGAAATTCTAATGTCGTAAATATCTATTTCATCCATTTTTTCGTCGATAATTTTCACGTTCAGTGTTGCGAAATACAATGTAAATAACGCTGGGTGGGGTTGGTGTTTGATCATCGACTTGAGACCCGCTATCATATTCTTGACATTTTCCGGTTGCTTCTTAATCATCGCCAAGTACTCTTCACAGAACGGAAACAAGTCAAAAGTGATTGGAGACCCTTTGAGTTCCAAATTGTACAATACAGGCTTTTGGATCTTCGGTGTGGTGTCATGTGGTAATACTGCAAGAGAAGCCAAAGCTGATATAAGAGATGTTTTGAATGGTTCCTCGATGTACATCGAAGGAGGTTTCGTCTGTATGTTGTCATGTTTTGGGAAGTCCATAACCGTGTTTGAACCAATCATTTCGGCGAGTGCTTTCTTCAAATTGTCGACTGATGGAATGAATTTGTATAACACTGCTGGGGGACATATCGAGCAAACAATGTTTAAATATCTGTGTGCTGTCGATCTGAAACTCTCCGAAACTTTTTTACAGCAAATCACCGTCGACGCGATCGGGAGACTGATATATAAAAATGAGAGTAACTTGTTCATATGGAGTGGAAGCTTAATACACATTTCCGCAATTCTGAGTAGTGGGTTTGGTAAGTTGTATATTTCATTTGGGTCGCTAAGTGAAGAGATGTATTTTGATAAGTAGTAGAACGGAATTTCGCTGAATGGATTGTTCAAATAAATCTTTGAAAAAACTTCCACGGTCTTTTCTCCAAGACACGACACCACCTCGAGCGGATACAGCAGATAACATCCTTCGAGTATATTGACATATGGTTCCACATCAATTTCGTCATCTTCTGTCAAGTATTTCACCATCTGTTTAAAGCATTTCCCAACAATAAGAGTCAGTGTTTGTTGATAATCTGCAATGTCAAAACTACTTCCGAGGGCCACCTGGTTTGATATGACGGGGTCTATAAACGACTTGATCTTCATACATATTCGTTTGAACATGATAGCAACGTCTTCTATCTTGTCGGTATTCTCCATCATCTCGAGAAATGTCGAGAATGTGACTTCCATGACATACTTGTCCAAAAACACCAAAAATTCATCGTACAACGACAACACCTTTAATGCGTTGTTTGTTGGCAACTCAATAACTCTTTTCATCAAATATCTGACACTCTTTTTAATGACATCAATTTGCTTATCGTTCTCCGGGCGGTTGTTCGCTTGGATTCGCATTAATATCTTCTTCATTGGCTCCGGTGTTGGCGAGTTGTTGATTCCAAAACTGAGGCACTGCTTGTCGTCGCATGAAACTACCATGATTGTATTGTGTATACATTGTTTAAAAAAGTCAAAAAGTAGTTTCTCCATCTCTTCTTCGTTTCCACTCGCGGGTTGTTGAAAAGTTTCGACTACTGTCGGAAGTAAGTCCACCATCAGTTTCAAAAATTCAAACACATTTTCGATGATCCGAGGGGTGTTTCTTGAAGTGGTGTTCCAGAAAAAGTGTTTGATACTTTCCATTGGGTTTGGTAATATCGTAATGAGCTGAATGATTGTGGTGAGATGTTGTGTCGCAAGTCTATAACATCTCAGCGTCAGTTCACTTTGCTTCTTAACTTCCATCAACACGTTCTTGTTCTGGCATATATTATCGAAGACCTGTTTAATGAATCTCATCGGATGAATCAAGTTATGTATACCGAGTCGATGGGAAGGTGCAATTTCCCAGGACGTTTTGTACATCGAAATGATTTTGAGTGTTGTTAAACTCTGCATGTTGACCTTCGCGACGATCTCCAGTGCTCTATTGAACACGACAATCAGTCTTGAATTTGGTTGGCAGTCGATGTTTTTGAGTATATCCTTTGCGCTTTCAAGCAAGACATTCACATCAATTTGAGTATTCATATTATCAAACAACAGTTCTCTTGGATATATGAATGAGTCATTCATGAGCAACAGAAACTTTTCATGCATTCTTTTGACTTCTTTCGCTTTGTCTGGGGACATCTTGTATGCTCGAATATATACCGCCGCGAACTTATAAAACGCCTTATACAACTGAATTCTGATTCTCAAATTCGTCATAGTTTGGACTGGCAACGGATCGTCAAGTGCGAGCATGGTGTTGTACAACAAATCAGCAAACACGTTTCCTCGGAGTAAATCGTTTCTTTCATCGGTGAAGTTCAACAGTAATTTCGCTATTTCTGTGAGCACATCTGCCTTACATGGTCTCGACACGTACTCATAGAAGAATTGTTGGTTGACTATTTTCTGATTAAAGTCCGGTGACACGTATTGCCACAATTTCCCCATTATCAGTTGATTCAAATTACTCAGAAACGCGTCTGCTTTTTGTTCTGTTTTGAGTATCTTCTTGAACTCTTCGACATTTTTCATTAAGAATTCGTCAATCAAATTGACTGCAATCAGTTCGACTCTTTCTTGTCCTTTCTCAAAGAGGTTATTCGCCAATATCAAGACATTGACTAAAAAATCAGGTTGATACGTTCGATTTAAAAAATTGAAGAGTCTTTCAATACATTCATTTCGGAAATTCTGGTCTCGAAGAATCGAGTCGCTGAGTGCTCGAATAGCGTTGTATACCAACGTGAAAAAAAATCCGTTGAAGTCTGGGGGAATGTCCTTTTGTGTGAAAAACTTCATTTCAATCCGATCCAACAGCTTCGCAAATTTCTCCGAGTCAGCGTCCGCCTCTTTTTTCGTTTCGGGTGTTGGTTTAAGTTTCGCTTCTGAAAAAGGTTCGGTGACTTCGGCTCGTAGTTGTTTGAAGTAGTCCTCACTCTCCATCTATTTTTTGAGTTGGCATTCCTTTTTTCTCTTTTTTAATAAATTAGATTGTTAATTCTTTGTTACAATAGTTTATACTATTTCTTTCATTATTATCACTAAGATCCAAAATTCAAAATAAGTTCACTCCCATTAATTATTCTTATATAAAAAAGACTGTATCAGATTATTTTTTTGAACTCTTTCACCTTTTTGGGTTTTCTTTATTTAGCCAGTGGTATAATTTATAGTTTAAATTATAATTAAAATCTGGTAAGTTCTGAAATTATAGATATAGCAAAATAAATTAAAAATATATTATTTGTTGAATAAATGATGTTACGAAAAGTATTTCTTAATATAGTTTATTGTTACTATAAATATAAATTTTGTTTTTTTACAGTGTCACATGAAGAAACAACACACAATTAAATCAATCAATTAAACCAAACTTTCACTCTTGAAAGGACATTATTCGGAAGTGACTTCTTCTGGATAACCGACGTGAAAAAGATGTTGTTTTGTGGTCTTACGGCCCATGGAAAAAGTAAACACTTTATCCTGGTCAATCTATATACCAACAATTCATTTTCACAATAATACCTCTGATCGTATGTAATCTTGTAACACGCGTCAATCATACGCCTCAGTGGGACTTTCATGCGCGCAGCTTCCTGCTCAACTCGATTTCTATAAGCTAACATGAAGCTTTCGAGGTCGTTGATAACACCCTTCTCTTCCTTTTCCCACTCCAACCGATCACTTCCACTTGTTCGGAATACACCACCCACTACAAGTTGAGTCCTTTCAGTATCTCGTTGTATTCGGTACGGTATTTGTTTGTTAATGTACAACTCAATCTGCTTGTTGAATTCGTTTCTCGTTCTTCTCACAAATGGTATGAGCTCTGGGATGATATTATCTGACAAGAAAATGGTATCGTAGTGAAGTGTATTGACTATGTCCATCAACTCCGCGTGGAATCTGTCAAGCACAAGTGGCACTTGTTGGTTGAAAAAGTCCTTCAACGCGATGAGTACGGACTGCCCAACGATCTTCTGTTCTCTGACTCTCTCCACCAACTCGTTTATCTCCCCACTATCTATCTCTGCCCCCGTCTTTGGTGCGTCAACCGCCACGGATATGAGTTGTGAAAGTGCCTTTGAAATCTCGTCCTGCATCCCCAATGACATACACGCCTTCTTATGGCAAGTCGATATCTGTGCCAACACATACTTGGAGTATAACTGTGAAACAAATGCGTGTTTCATGTCGTTGTATTCCAAGAATCTTTCAAGATGTGTTTCCTCAAAATCGTAATTTGCTGGCGGGTGTGACTTCTTACCAAGTTTGGGAAGGAAAAGTGGATTCCAAATGACCAAGTACTCATCACCATCCAAATCTCCACCCGCCATCTTATTCGGATCAGGACGATATCCCTTCGACGAAAAGACGATGACGTCCTTTAAATACGCAAGTCGCTCGTACCCGCGTTTTCGTTCAAACAACACATTTTCACAAACATTTCGTAAGAGCAAAAAGTCGCCGGGATGTGTAGCTGGGAATTTAACAGCAAGAAGCCTTGAAGATGGAACGAAGACCGAATTCGAGGAGAGTTGAATGAAGACCTGTCCCTCTTCTAATATGCCTGTTTCGTCCATCACGCCCATTAAAAATGCCGAATTATCAATATCAAACTTAATAAAATCGCTCTTCTCGGACAGCATAGCCATTCGAAGGACAAGTGAATTCGCTTTCACAAAAGGCTCTTCGAATATTTTGGAGTCGCGACCAGCTGCCATCACCATCTTCAGTGCAATTGCTACCGTGGGATTTTTGGCATTCTTCTGGAAGAGTCTGACTACCTCATCATTTGGAATGCTCGTGAAATATTTTCTTAGATATTCTTTCGCACATTGTATGAAATTGGGTATCGGTATCTCAAGATACTCAAGCCCTAAAGCAAGTTGTTCGTTCATTCTCCCCGATCTGTATTGTGGTATTTGGACAACTCTCAGTTTCTGGACCCTTTCTGGAAACGCCTCAATCTTAATCTGTGATGGCCTGAAGTAGATGTTCTCACTCTTATCCAAGCAGTCGACAGATACAACTCCTTTGACTCCAGCAAACCGAATTTGAAAAGCCGCCGGTTCTTCAACTCGAATGACATTCTCCCCACACCGCCGATACTCCGCAAACACTTTACTTGCAAGTGAAAGACTGATCCTTCCAACCCCATCCGAAAACGTGTAGCCTCCTTCATTGGTTACATCTTCAATTCTTTTAATTTGCTGGGGGTAGATACCGGCAGTAGCTACAGAATCCGATCCAAACAGTCCAGCTCTCATCAACAAAATACCCGAGTTCTTAATTTTGGCACTTTTCAAGTCAATTCCAAGCGAATTATACGCAGCAACACGCGTAATGTCATCGGTATTATCAATGAACCAACATGCTCCCGACCTGCTTTGTGACGGGTTCGACAAGAAAAATTCGTACCTTCGATTCTGGAAATAAGACGAATACCCCTTGACCAAGTAGAATGCCAGTAAATCAGTGTCCACCCTTTCAAGTACGTGCATCTTATTTTCATTGTTCAAAAACTTAAGTCGCAGCATTTTCACACGAAACTCCTCTGAAAAATCCTCGAGAATAGCATTGGATTCATTGTACCCAAAACTCATTCGAACCACTGATGAGTTCACTTCCATTCTCAGTACAACGTCATCTTCGCGTGACTTCCCAATCGAATCGTGGAACTTCTCTTTACATGTCTGTATTGCTTGCCTTAAGCTGAATATTCTGAGGTAGTCATTTTCAAGTGCCATCAATTGCGTTTGCCTTTTAAAGAATATCAGCATATCCTTCTTGAGGGTTTTCAAATACGACACAATCTCTGCATCAATTTGTGAGGACATAATATACCCCTCGAGATACAATCCCTCCAATTGAAACAGCGCAATAGTCTCTTGAATCGTTGGATATGAAAAATACACTTTTGGTGTGAAGTTGTAGTTCTCGATGTATTGAAGTGGGATGTTGATAATGAATCTGTCGTTATACATTCTGCTATTGTGATTGTTTTGCAACACCTGAATCACCTTTTTCATTATGAATTCCGAATCAACACTAAAATATAATGACCGACACCTATTCACGTATTTCGTTGGCGAAAAATCAAGTTGAATTGTCGTCGCGCGCCTTGCCGATGGTACTGTTATTAGTGGTGGTTGTTTTAATACCAAGACAAACGTTTTCGTATCCGTATTCGATACAAAAACGTGGTGGATCGTGTGGTGTGGTACAATGTACTATTAGTTAATAATTAGTAAACCATAAATCGTACATTCGACAGACTGTATTAAAAATAATAGTATATTTGTATTAAAACATAATACAAATGCCTCAGAAGAACAAACCATATATTCCATTGTAGAAACCTGTACTTCAGACTTTAAGATATTGACGTACGAATTTGGAAAGAACTTTTCAGAGGCGTAGGATGATGGTGTAACGAAAGAACCAAACCCAACGTCCGCACACATCTCACAGTAGCGAATTACTTTAACCTTTGAGTTGTCCTTTTTAAATTTGGTGTGTCTGTTCACGACGGGGGACTGTGTGTCGTTGGACATATGATATTTTTTAGTTTATTAAATAAAAACAATTTACTATTAAATAGTTTCTATTATTGGTTTGGGTCTTCTAATAAAAGTTATGGTTATAACAAATAAAGGACGTGATTGACAAGATAAGTGTATTGATGGAATGGAACAAAAGATGGGGTGGAATAGAAATGAAAAGTAGAAGAAATGACAATCCAAGTCCATAGCGGGTTTGCAAAAGATGCGATTCTGTTCAACCTGAAACAGAACAACGAAGTAAAAGAAAGCGCCGCACTTAGACACGACATCGTGCTTCCAAATAAAATATGCGTGGATGTTGTCGACGCAAATATGGTCGAATCAGATAGGGACTACAACTTGTTGCTTCAGAGACGACAACACCAAACAGACGATGAGACTGTTTATGTCTTTGTGATGTGCAGAAGTGCAACGAAGTTGGTGAGGCAACTGTGCATGAATCTTAGACCAACACAAACCTTTGTCGTTGTCCCGGTTGTTGATGACGACAACGTTGTCGCGACATGCATAAACTCGCTTTTAAAAGCAAAACCTCAACAAAAAGTTGAACTTCCAATTGTTGTAGATGCTACAAGAATTCTGCTACAACTGTCACACGCTGTTGAACTTGACTTGCTTGGTTTTGTGAAGACCAACCACCTTTCAATTGCCGATCTTTTCGACAAAAAAGTTTTAGAAAAATGTGGAATGTGTGCAGAGGACATCGATTCGTTGACAAAAGTTTTGTCAACAGATCGTTTTTTGTTATAAAAGAGTTGGATTTAAAACTTCAAGAAAGATGAGTTATAATATTTATAATATAATTCATAATATCATTTATAATATCATTTGTTTATTAGATTATTAATAAAAAAGTTATAATATATATTAAATACAAATATGGAATAAAAAACATCAATTTATTACACCACAAAACCAAATTAAACAAAACAGAATATATTTAACATAATGTAGAAGCGAATGCTCTTGAATAGTTAAGTTGGTTGATACAGTTCGCGTAGAAACAATAAGCATTAAGGTCGCCCTCTTTTGGTGCAGGCAGCGAGGCTAACACATTGAGAGTATTGATCATTTGGAGTTGGAGTTCCGTCAGTGTGTCCAATAAAGGAACTTCACTTGGTTGGGGCGAGTTTTGTTGTACCGCCTCGGTCGAAACTGAAGAGGCCGAGTTCGAGCTTTCGTTTGATTCTTTAAGCCTATAAAATCCTCTATTATGGCAAGCTTCTCTTCCCGACTCGACGTGCGAGGAGTGGTTAAGTGCGTCCAACATAGACTTTCTCCATTTTCCAGTCTTAAATATCTTCAGATTGGCGAGCAGTTTCATGTGTTTCGAGACGAAGGGCAATATGTCTTTTGTGAGTGAATAGAAGACGACATCTGGCTTCAGTTGTTTCAGTGCTTGGAGGATCATGATGACCAATCTTGTTGTTTTAACCTTAGGGCAGGACGTCATGAAGAACGACTTCTTTTGGCAGAGCGAGCATTGGCAAGTCAGAGTCTCCAGTTCCATTGTTTTGGTTTAGATCTCAAGAGGGTTGTTTAAGTATTTTTAAGACGTTTCTTTCAATCCATTTGTCGATATTTGAATAAAAGTATTTTTAATCTTTAATATAATTGGTGGAGTCTATTTGAAAACTAATACTTCTTTGTACCATAATGAGTTGTTTTGTTAATCGTTCAAATTTTCATTGTCTTTCCACCAAAAAATGAGATTTCGGCATATTTATCTAGTTGTCACAATCGTAAACCTTTTTATTGTTTTTGCAATAATTGTGACAATTTCTATTATTATGGTTTATTTATACTTTTGTTTGTATAATTTGTTTTAATCTATTTTTGTGTTTTTTTAAATTTAGATTATTTGGAACTCCTTTTGATTTGGAGATTATTTTTTATTATCAATTGGGGTGCAACATTATTTCTTATTAAAAAAATATCAGATATTATAGTTTATCATTATTTGATGTAAAAAAATATAATTAATTAAAAAGTGGTAGTATCTGGTTGATTTTGCAAGAAATTTTAACTTATTTATAATAAATATAATCATAGTAATATAAAATGTTCTGAATACGAGTTAATTTTTGTGAAAAAAAATGGAATTGACTTGGAAATATGGAAGATTACTTGCAACTTTAACAAATAATATAGTTTTAATACAATTAAAATTACTAAACATAAATAAGTATTTCTAAATATGAAAATAAAATATACTATATATATCAGACTGATTTTTTCTCAACCCCATTTGATTGATTTATATTAGATGCAAATTCATGTAAAAAAAGGGAAAAACAATTAATTCAAATAAGTTCATCTTGGAAGGTTTTTTTTTATAAATAAATTTATTTTTATAAAAATTTAAATTTTTTTATACACTTTGAAAAACATGAATTTAATTAACTTCATTTTTATGTTAGTCAAATTTATATCCATAACTATAACTTATAAATATTTTACTATAATTTTTATGTTTATGTTTATGTTTATATTTTAATTATAATTATTATAAAAACAATTGTTTTTTTGTTTGAAAAAGAAATAAATAAAAAAATAATAATTATGATTTAATTGCATTGTATTAACACTTAAAAAAACATCGTTTTTTTCTTTTAAAAATGTTTTTGCTTTAAAAATGTTTTTTTAAAATTTACGTTTTGAAATATAATTTCATTTATTTAAAAAAAAAGAAAATGTGTATTGTAATACACACAAAAACCCCGATAGACAAACAAATATTTCACTAATTAATTGTATATTGCTTTCCAATTTTAAGTCTCATTTCTTAGCAATGCAAAATTGGAATTAAAATATCAAAAAGACACATAATTATCGTCAAGTAGTATCACATATAAACAATGTCTCATTATAAACAAACCGGATAGAAGTCGCTTTAAAAATTGACGTTGACCCGTCGTTGTTTTCTTCAATTTCTAACACATAAACGCCATCGGCCAGGGTCTTTTTTTTTATCCAAAGTCTCAATAAAGAAATGCAAGTTTTGTTATTTGAAAATGAAAAGTATATCTTTCACAAAGTTCGAGATTTTTTTGCGAACCACATACAAAAGTAAGACACAGAGTCTAACACAATTTGTTTTTAATTCATCTTTTTTCTTTTTGAATTCTTGAATCGACTTCTGCGTAACTTGTGTGATATTTATCCCACAAAATCGGGATAAATCCCCTATTGGAAACATTTTGACAACTTGATCTTTTTTGTTATAAAAATAAAAACTGACGTCAAACTGATATTTATGCAGATCTAGCAATTTTTCATCCAATCAATGCAGAAATAAATGAAAGGAAAGTAATTAAAACTTTGAACTTCAATCTTTTTTATTATTTTTTCACTTTTGAGGTTTTGATGTTTTCAATAATATAATTTAACTTTAATACATTCTAATTTAACGGGAAAACAGCCCAATCACCCGTAATAGAACTTTTTTCTCTTACCTCAAAAGGTGGGGGAGTCACCCCTGATTGCGTCAAAAAATAACCACTCATTCTCTCATATCGAATAAATCCGAACCAAAATGAACGAATCGACGAAAGAGAAGGAAAAGAACATACATAAAAGTTATGTGGACTTGTGAAGAAACCAACCATTTTCTACTCCGACCCGTCGAAGTTCATCCACTTTCCTTGCTCTATATAAACCTTGCAATATACCAACTTTAAAACCAAATGCGTGCTTTCGACGAACAGAACATCAACCCAAATGTCTTAGCAACTCAATATGCTGTCCGAGGCCGTTTAGTTCTCGAAGCCAATGAGATCGACAAACAAATCCAAGAAGCTTTAAAAGCCGGTAAGCCAAATCCGTATCCTTTCGACAAGGTCGTCTACTGTAATATCGGCAATCCACAATTTTGTAATCAACCTCCTTTGACTTATGTCAGACAAATCATTTCAATGGTCGAATTCCCACCGTTACTGGATCACCCGGAGATCTTCCCAAAAGACTTAATCGACCACGCAAAAACACTAGTCAAAGCAACTGGATGTGACGGAACAACGGGAGCTTATTCTCATTCAATGGGCGTCATGGGATTTAGAAAGAGTGTGTGTGAATTCATTGGTGATAGAGATGGCGACAAACCAAGTCCAGAAGACATCTTCATTACTGATGGGGCAAGCACGGGTATCAAATTGATTATGAACGTTCTTCTTTCACATCAGAGACATGGCATCATGATTCCAATTCCTCAGTACCCGCTCTATTCAGCAACTATCGCTACACTCGGTGGTACACTTGTCCCATATTACTTGGATGAAAGTAAAATGTGGGCGACTGATATGGAATCTGTCAGAGAGATGTACGACAAATACACAAAACAAGGCACAATCGTGAAAGGATTTGTTGTGATCAATCCCGGCAATCCAACAGGCCAAGTCCTCACCGTCGACAACATGAAAGAGATCATCGAGTTCTGTTATGAGAGAAAACTGTGTTTAATGGCTGACGAGGTGTATCAAGAGAACATCTGGAGTGACGTTCCATTCACTTCGTTCAGAAAGGTGTTACACACTATGAGAGATGAAGTTAGACATGGTCTTGAGTTAATTTCGTTCTTCAGTGTTTCGAAGGGGTATTACGGAGAATGTGGCAAGAGAGGGGGATACTTCCAACTTGAGAACATCAATCAATTTGCTCGTTCTCAGTTGTATAAAATGGTTTCCGTCAACTTGTGCTCCAATGTTGTTGGACAGGAAGTTGTTGAATTGATTTGTAACCCACCTAAAGAAGGAGATGAGTCATTTCCACTCTACAAAAAAGAAAAGGAAGAGATCCTTGGCTCTTTAATGAGAAAGGCAAAGCTTCTTGCAAATGCTTTGAATGAATGTGAAGGGATTAGCTGCAACCCGGCTTGTGGCGCTCTTTATCTCTTCCCAAAAATCGATTTACCTCAGAAATTTGTCGACGAGTGTCTTGCTCAGAAGGAAAAACCAGACGAAATCTATTGCCTTAATATGCTCAAAAAGATCGGTGTTTGCGTAGTACCAGGTTCCGGGTTCGAACAAAAAGAAGGAACGTATCATTACAGAATGGCATTTTTACCACCAGAGGACCAAGTACAAAAAGTTGCTGATAGTATGAAGAAGTTCCATAATGAGTTCATGGAACAATATGAATAATTATAATCCATTTTCATTGTTCTTTACTCAACTACAATTTCTATTATTATGTATAGAATGTAAACTAGCATTTATAAAATGTAATTTAATTATTTAGTTTATTTATATTATAATATTATTTTTTAATTAAACATTCTATTATTTTATAATTATTTTATAATTATTACATAGTACACAAATTAATATAAATATTGTAACTCACTCTTAATTCCGATTTATATCTTGTCTAAATGAAAGAGCATTTAAGGGAAGAAAATTGACGGAAATAATGATGGAAGATCACAAAAAGATGTGTGATGATTGCACTAAAGAGAAATACTCTTTTGTGGCTGAAATCAAGAAGGATAAGAAAAGGGAAATAGAGGACATGATGAGGGAAAGATATACTTTTGTGAATGGAATCAGAAAAGAACAAAAGATGGAAAACGTTATCCATTTGAAGACAACAAACATCAATGAGCCAAAAAAGAAACACAAGAGGGCTGGAGGCACGGAGGAAGAAAAAATATTGACATTATGGCTGTAGTCCAAAAGTTCGAGGAACAATTAGCCAATACAAGGCAACGCGTGTTAAATGCCCAGAGTCGGTTAAAGAAAGCAATTGAGAGCGGAGACAAATGCGATGAAATGGAGGCCATTACTGAGTGTCAAAAGTGCAATCAACAGTATACAACTTTCCAGATTAAAGCTTCTGACAGCATCTTTAAATATGCACAAACGCGTTTTGAAGACGTGTTTGACTTTGAAGCAATCGATTTGCATGTGTTGTGTTGAATCAAATTGAAATAGCCTTTCACGAGAAAAAGGCAGAAATTGTGTTTGACATAGGGAGCAAGAGTGATGGAGAGTGGCACGAACTTGCTCTTGCCAGAGAGATGCATAATTTGTCTGCCCATTGTTGCTTGTGTTTGTGATGTTATTGATCTTCAGGAGGTCTTCAACACTGTGTTTTGTTCCATTAAATGCGTGGTCTGACCATATTACATTGGTGAATGAGTAGGGATCACTTCCTTGTGACGTCTTCATTGTTATTATAGGGACAAAGCAATACGCATGTTTTGAAAGCTTCTTTTCGACAAGATCTTTGATGAATGACCCATCTATGACGCACTGTGGGACATCTTCTGGGCCAAAGTACTGAATATTGTCCATTTGTTCGACATCTTTTGTTCCACCAGGACAGTACATATATTTGTATTGTCTTGTGACAGTAAACGTGTATGGGAACATGTTTTTGATCATCGGAAGTGCAAAGTCAAGTTGCTTTGAAGTCATTTCATTCATCCACTGCTTTACTGCTTCGTCTTGGATTCCATTGAACTCATCAATATCTTTGAATGGTGTGCTATAAAATTTTGCTACTTGTGACGAGTAGAGAGCACTGTGGCTATTCGAAGATCCAAGAGCCTGCGACCGTACAAATTGTCCTTCAAGAGAATCCTCCTCGCCTAACGCTCCCGCAAACGACTTCACAAGATTCTTAACAAGAGGAATTCCAAAATTGACCAACCCACTTATGATACTTGCCATTAAGAAATACAAAGTTTTCTCTTTTTACTGGATCGAACACGTGTCAAAGACGTGTCAACTGAGACATAAGTTTGATTGCGGACTGGAAAATCAATGGCACAACAGCAGACTTTTTGTAAGTACGGGAAGTACAAACAAAACATTAAAACTAAAGATGGCTACTACGGATGGATGATTATCAACGTTCCACTGAATATCATTGACTACGTGAAATTAGAAAACAAATCCCTGTTGAATGTTGTAAAATCAGTGTTCACGTATTATCCAACGAAAAACACGTTCGACAACGAAGAAGAGAATTTTAAGTGTCTGGTTGCATGTAAGCGTGTTCCAGGAAAGGTTACCAAAGAAGAGGGCATCGAAGTAATTGATATGAGCTTGTCCGATATCATGAGTAGTATGACACATGAATTTGTTACACTTGACACCAAGTTCAGTGTAGACATGAGCAACTACAAGATTTCAAAACTGAATAACGACAAGTACACAATATCAGAGACAGAAAATATTGACATTGAAAACATAGAGAAAGAAACAAATGCAATGGGTGTCCTGTATATCATCGAATTGGACACAGCCGTTGTACAAGATATGACTCACGTGAGTAGCATAAACGGATCGAAGATTGCAGCAATGAGAAGAAACGGGGAAATTGAAAAGAGTGATGTCAGAAGAACGCGTCTTTCAAAAAACACCCCACCTCCACCAACAAAAGAACCTAAGGAAATAGATCTTTCCTATAGTGCAACATTCAGATATTTGGAATAATTCATTTTTAGATGAACTTTTTATTTATTTAATGGCAGGTTACTACAGGAGGTACAGGAGGTACAATAGATACAACAGATACGGGAGAGGTTTTTCAAGAGGGTTCAAACCATTCAACAAGAAAAAAGGCGGGTTCCAGTATAAAACCGCAGACAACTCGATGACGGTAAGTAGCTACAAGAATCTTGGCTTTACAAGAGCAGTGAAAATGAATCTCAGGAGACAGTTCAACGTCACAAAAGGAAAATGCTTCCGGTTGTGTCTCAATCCATTTGACTCTGAAAATCAATCGGATCTCTTTCATGTCGTTCCCTCGAGCAATGGACAACCTAAATACTACCCACGATTTGACTTTGCAAAGGTCGAATGCATCTCAATTAACATCAGTCCAAAACAGAACTCGTTTGATGACTCTCTCTCTTCATACGCGATATTCTACTGCATAGACAGTGGAATCGGTGAATCACGATTTGTTTCGACAACCATCGAAGAGACTGAATCAGATTATGAAATGGTAAAGGCGTACATATCAAACAAAGACGTCAGGGAAGTCAATGACGACAAAAAGATGACGTTCAACATCAAGACAATCCGGTTCATAACAAGTGACGACGTCACAACAATCCACATCGGAAACGGTTTCAATATCAAGGAGATGTGTTCCGGAACAGTCCATGATAATGGGAGTTATTATTCCGGGTTATACGACCCAAAAAATGGAAACCAAGTCTTGCACCCTTACGGACAAGAAGGACAAAATGAACAAGAAGAACACAATGGACAATATGGAATGGACATTGAAAATGACACGATTTTACAGAAAATAATATGTTTTGGAATGGTGTACATGGTATTTCCTCCAGACCATGCTACAAACTACACAATAGATGTTGTGTACAAAATGAAACTTTACTCGTAATTCAGTTAGTTTTTGATATTCAATCTGGAATTTTCTTTGAGATCTCTTCCAATTGATCATCGTTAGCTGGAATGTTATCTATCAGTTGAATGTTTTCCGGCGTTCCTAATAATCGGACAACGTTCTTTGAATTTCCAATCTGAGTAGTTTTACACATTTGAATGAAAATGTATAGGAATTTCGAAAATAGTCTCTTTCCATTCGTCTTTGTAAAGAATCCAAGGAGATTGTTCAAAGATAGATAGGAATATGCATCACTGAGATAGTAGTAAAAGTTAGCATCGAGAATATTTTGAGGGTTCACATTCAAATTTTGCTTTTGAAGGTCTATGAGACTATTTTGCACACTAATAATTGCAGCGTTGTAATCCATTTGCTTCTTCATTGCTATTTCGTTAAGATCATTTATTTTCTTCAAGACTACGTTTTCCGCTTGTGAACTAATCAGAGATACCTGAGACTGTTGCTGTGAGATGATTTGTTGTGCTTGAATGGTTCTATTCGCTTCTTTTGTATCTTCAAGTTCCTTTAACAACTGCATCTGATTCTTCATTTGTTCTTGATACATGGAAACTTCATTTCTCTTCTCATCGAAATATTTCGACTTCTCCTCTTGTGTCGATTTTAACATTGTCTGATACTTCGCTTGCGTATCTTCAACATACCGATCTTTTAGAGCAATTTGATCTTTCATTAGAGTGTTGTCATGTTCGAATTTATTTATAATTCCTTCGGTCATTTCCTTATATTTCTTGTATTCATCTCTTTCCTTTGCAAATTCCTTTTCCTTCTCTACTTTTTCTTTTGAAATACTCTCCTTTTGTGAATTCAGTTGATTAAGTACTGTATTGTATGTTTCAAATTTACTTTCCATTTCCAAAATTTGTTTCCTGTATCCATTTTCAACCGATTTTATCTTCGCGTTTAATTCATTCACTTCTTTTTCTTTCAACTGTTTCAAAGTTGAGATATTCTTCTTCAAATCATTGTTCTCTGTAATTAAAGTGCAGTTCTTATTTTGTAGAATTTTAATATCCTTCTCCTCCTTTTTTTCCTTTTTTTCCTTCTCCTTCTCCTCCTTATTCACGGGTTCAATTGACATCTTTCTTTCATTCTTCGAAAACACTTTAATGGGTTTCTTCTTTTTTTTGGCAGCAGTGATCTGTAATACGTGTTCCACGTACGTTAAGTATTTCTCCTTTGTCATATAATCGTTTTTGTTGTATATATTGCATGTGATGTATGGGAATTCGGTTCCCGATATGAAGACATCACGATATTTTGAAATTCGCTCCGACTTAAAAGGTCCATCGTCGTAGTGTTCGGATATGAATACTTTTGTCATTTCTTTGAGTTGTTCCTTTTCATCCTTTTTCAAATCAAAGGTGTTTATCTTCCTAGGGGTTCTTTCAATTCTGATTGTGGGATACTTTGTAGCAAGAGCATTCATTTTCTTTATCTTTGTATCTTGGGACGTTTCCTGTAAAACGTAAGTGATATCTTGTGCCAGTACAATGATGTTGACGTCTTTATTGAACAAAGCGTGTCGCATGAAGTATTCCATAAAAAAGACGGTATTTTCTTGGAACTCGATTTGACCAAAATGCAAGTTTTCGAAGACCTCGATGTATTTGAAATAGTTAGTCAGTTCGATTCTAAATCCCTCGTCTCTGAAGTATTCGATGATTATAGTCCTTGCAATAAGATTGACTATTGGGTTTGTTGTTGTTTTGAGATAAGACACAAGAGAAACGTTTGGATTTTCACTTTCGCGCATTTTTACAAGTTGATAAATGGCGTAATATAAAGTAATTGTTCCACAGCCCGTATTTTTGATAACGTTCTGATAGAAATCGATATTTCTTTCGCTGTTGCTTGTATTTAATTGTTCCATTAAGAAATGAATATTAAGTTCCAGTGAATTACTCCAAGAAGAACATCACTTGATCTGTAGTGTATATTTCCAAATTCGAGAGAATGGGATTCCTTTTGATTTCCTTTCGTGCAAAATCGATACTTCTCGTATAGAACTCCTTGTCTGTTTTGTATAACTCATTGCTTACCTTCCCACCATTCCAGACAACCCAGCTTTTCTCCGTTTTTTTCGACGTGCAGAGGACAACTGCGTCCTTTATTTTGTTTGTAAGTCCACTCGAGTAGCACGTCTCGAGGAAGATCACCTTCCGTTCCGCATCAAACCCATTCACAACGCGTGCAAACTCGTCCTCGTTGATGGAAAATTCATTGTAAATCATATAATACGTGTCTCCTTTACGTATTGTATGACCAAGATAATAAATGAACAGGTTCTTTACATTCTTCAATCGCAGCGAACTTAGTTCCGAAAGCTTGACAATTGTGTATGAGAAGCGATCCACAAACGACAACATCTCTCGTTGTTTTCGAATCATTTGGATGCATGCCTGATAGTATACTCCGCCGTCTATAAATACCGCCAAGTTCTTTGTAATTTCAGTTGTATCGCCCATGGAGATTATGCTTATGAATGGCAAGTTTTAGCATCGAGGGGGAAAATAGGTCACGTGCAGAACTTGAAATGCAAATGTCTGTTTTTGACGAAATAGTAACCATGTTCTTTGGAAACGGGTACCGAGAGTACAGTATTAGAGACGTAGTTTTCTACATGTTCGAAAGAGATTCGACAAGATTTCTCATGTGTACGCTTTCATTTCACCTAACTTATATCAGCGGAATGGAAATTGTAAAGGAGGGGAGAGGTACGTACAGGATCAATAGCGAATGTAGCTCTGAGGATTTTGATTTCTCAAATAGAGAGGCACTGTACAACGCATGTATGAGTGTCTTAAATGATACAAAGAATGGTACAAAAGAAGTGAAAAGGGTATCACAACATCGATTGTTCATACCTAAGTTAGAGTCGAAATTGAAATTAATGACTGATTCGGAGAGGAATAAAGTTAATCAATCGTTTGATGATTTCCCAAATAAACGTATAGCTTTTGAAAATAACAGAAGAAAGATTGCGGTTCCAACACCAAGAAATGTTTCATGTCAAAAAAAGGAGATTATAGACCCCGAAATTATGGACGTAATCAATTCAATCGATAGTAATCCGATTGTTATAAAAGACACGGAGAAAATCGATAGTAATCCGATTATTATAAAAGATACGGAGAAAATGGATAGTAATCCTAATGTCGTTAAAGAAAGTGCTGACGTTAAAGAGGTTTTGAACGAAATTTTAAACATGGAAAAGATAACTGCTGAACCAAAGGATGGAAATGTAGCTGATGTAAACATGGAAGAGATAACTGCTGAACCAAAGGATGATAACGTAGCAGATGTAAACATGGAAGAAGAATGTCCAAAATACGACGACGACTTGATCAACGAATATACAAATTCTCTTTAACAGAATTCTTACTTGAAACTTTTATTAATTTTGGTTTCGATTTCCTTTTTTGAATTTTCAACTTCGGAAACGATTTCAGTGTAATTGACTGGTTGTATGATAATTCTTTTGTTTGTACTATTTGGTACGATGTTTCTTGTATAATTCACATCATATAATGAATTTCCTAGTAAATTGCCAAACAATCGAAGTGCTCTTTTTCGTGCGTCAGTCACGGATTCCTTAGCTGCTATCTCAAGTGGGTTGGTCTTAAGTGCTGAAGACCCAAATCCAATATCTTCGTGGTAGCATCCATTCTTCAAAGTGATACGAACAATTGAAAGTACACACCCTGTATTCTGTGGGATGAATTGTTTGACCTCATCTGACCACCCGTCATACCCAAACACCGCGTTTGCAATCTCTATTGCGCGAAACCCTTCGAGATATTTCATGCTATTACCGCCTGCTCCTTGTCGAGCACATACCAACTGTTGTGGAGTCTTTTCCATTAGAATCGAATCGATTTCTTTATTGTTTTCAAAGCCGCGGGTCCCAAAAGGGGACAATGTTATTTCTCTTTTCTCCTCTTCCATATACAATTTAAAGATAAGAAAGATTCAATTCACGTAAAATCCATCATAGAGTCTCTTTTGGATCTCCCATGATGGGTCTCTTATGAAATCGTTGAATGTGTCCACAATCTCATGGATCTTCCTTGCAAGCTTCGTCTTCTGCTCGACGTAATCCTGGTCTGAGATGCAATGGCTGAGTGTTCTGTAGATCAGGATGTACTCCGAAAACAGGTCCTTCAAGACGTGCTCGTACTGCAGGTGCGTCTTGTATGTTCCGGCGTTCTCATCAAGAATGGAATTCTCGTTTACACCTTTGATACTCATTGTTATCTATTTTTTAAGTTCTTTTGCGTGAGTATATTTCCAAAGAAAGAAAGTAAACAAGTAAAAAGGATTCGATTAGATGTATTGTTGGGAGTATCCTGTTTGGATGAACCCCATGTCTTCTGGAGGAGCCACTTCAACCTCCATCTCGTTGCTCTGGTGGACTTCCTCCATTGGTTGGACTGCCCTGATTGGAATGGGGACTTGTGTGACAACTGGACTCTTCTCTGCTCTCTTCTGCATCATTGTTTTCTGGATTTTAACGTAATTTGGGTATCCTTCCATGTATTTTGTACTTAATATCATTTCAAGTTCTTCTGAACTGATTCCTAGTACAGAAGTTAGGAGGAAATCATCATCAGTCAGATTACCACGGTCATCCATTTTAAATATTGGTTCTTTCCAAGAAGGTATTACATATTCGTTACCAAGAGAACGAAATTCTTTGAAATCAACTGGAGGGTAGATGCTGCAGTTTTTCTCAAGCCAGTCATCTGATCCGAAACTGTACACGAAATTGCGGAATTCTTTTGTGTTAAACAAAAGTACTAAAGGAACAGGATATATTTGTTTTGTGTCTCTTAAAACACGAGTCTGAAATTCTTCACCTCCCATTAAGTTCTTAATTGTATCCGTGTTTAAAGCACCACACGTGAAGTCATCAAAAATTCGAAATACGTAGTTTGATTCCTCGTTATGGTAAGTAAAGTTTCCATCACCTTTCTGATAATCTACAACGTCTTCGAATGTTATTGTTTTCATTGATGGCAATGTAAGGTATTTAAACATAACACTTTTTCCAATTTGACTGTTTCCTATAAGAATAAGATTGTTGTTTCTTACCCGTTCTGTAAAGAATGTTTCTTTGATCCAATTTCTTGTAAATTGTACGAACTCACAATTTACGAGTCGTGACTGATTCCCTTTCTTCTCCTCTTCAAACTTCCAGTACTTACTTTTTCTCGGACGTATCGTGTTAACCCGTTTCATTAATTCTTCATACTCAATAATACCAAAATTTGAAACTATTATATCACGTGCTTCTTTCAGTGTATTCATTTTTGCCGCTTTTTCTACTAGTATACATTTCAGTACATCTTTCGAAACGCATTTTTCAGACTTAAACCCCAAAGCCGTTTTTAAACTGTTGTTAATAATTCCGGACATAAAAATGGACCTGAACATGATCTGTTCTGTGAATTTCTTTGAAGAATCTACTGGAACGAATGTCATATTTGTAGTATTTACTGAATACTCAATGGTGTTTGTATTACAGTATTTTCTTTTTTCAAAAACAATTGCGTAAACTACAATGAAATCTCTAATGTCAATATTTTCGTCAACTCCAATATTTGTATACAAGTCATTGTCCCAAATTATACGATCATCTTTCATAACTTTCCTTGTAATATACCATCCATAAGAGCTTGGTTCTGATTGAGGGAAGTATTTCATTCTTAACCCATTTTCTACATATGATATTCCACAATTGGTATTGAATATTATATACCCTACAATTCCCTGAACTTTTTTCTTTTCATTGTCCCTTTTTCTTCTTGTTCCCCTTTCACTGCTGCTTTGTGTACTTCTCATGCTCATTGGCAACTGAGATTCGAGATCGGAATAAGTAGTCCGCGAACTGCGAAATCCGAGATCGACGCTAGTGTGATGATTGTTGGAATGGAGGCATTCTAGTACTTTGTAGTAAATGAACTATAGTTTTAGTATTGAAAATAAATGTTTGATTGGCTGTTTTGGATGAATAAGTGGTATGAGACAATACGAATGGAGGCATTCTAGTACTTTGTAGTAAATGAACTATAGTTGTTCCACTTGTGGATAATTCCAAGAGACAAGAACTGCATCTGATTGGGCGATCTCAGAAAGATAACTCCAGTGTGATGATTGGATTCCTCAAATTTATGCAACTATTGTAAAAGAAACCATAAAAATGGTATTCTTGGAAATGAATGAGACTAAAAATACTTTGTTCAATTTTTGTCCACGAAAATGTCCAACAAATATAATAAATAATTGCAGAGCCAAATAACGGGAGATAATGATAAATTAATATATTTCCAACTTGTCCAACTTGTCCAAGTTAGGATTTCCTCATAATATTAGTTCAAAATCCCGAATAATGATTTGAAACATAAATTTTAGACATCTGCCGCAATAACTGGTAAAATAAAAATAGGATAATGAGTAATTACCAGTTGTTTAAAATATGGTAAAACTGGACAAAATAGGGAAATGTACCAAATAAACCCTAATATTCCTAAGTTGGACAACATGGACAATACGGACAATTTCCTATCATCCCTACTCATCCCATTATTTTTCACGGCATTCAACCTGTATTAATCATGGACATTTTTTAGGACAAATTCCTAACAAGGTATTAATAGACACAAATCCGATTTGTCATTCCATTGATTCAAAATGTTATTTAAAATGGAATTCACTTTCAAGAATGAATCAATTTTTTTTAAAAAATGAACAATTGTTGGGTAATATACACTTAACAAAATGGGATTTCTTCCCAATCAACTCACACGTTTTGGATTTCCTGTATCAATCCCTTCATTTTTCAAACAACAAATAACAAAACGAATAACAAATAACAAGGAGTATCCGAAAATAGATTTGATACCTTTTGGGGTGTTCAGTTGTCCAAATGGTATGACAGGCAAATGCCGCGCAGTCGTGTGAGTATTCTATCTAATGTAAGCATATTGTCCACATTGTCCACATTGTCCATAAAGGGAAATAGAACAAAAATTAAGGAGAAGACCCGAAATTGTACACATTACCAACGATTTATACTTTTGCCAAATTCCACTTTTAACTCTTTAGTATTATTATCTATTAGTATTATTTGGTATTATTTGGTATTATTAAGTATGATATTATAAATTGGAAGTTATTTGGTATCTATTAGTATATCATGGAATTATAGTATCATTTATTATTATCTATTAGTATTATTATTCAATACTATTTATTAGTATTCACTAGAATTCAATGGGATTATCAATACGGCAAATGTCCATTCTCCATGTTTCAAGTCAATCTTCGGGATGTCACCCACATCTCTCCCTAATCTCCCGTTGGGGACAGGTGGGGACACTATAGACAATATCCTAATTATCCTAATCATCCCGATCTCTCCCGCGGCACAAACCTAACACTTCTTGTGGACACTTTTCAGGACTAAACCCAATCGGGATATTTATAGGCGCATCAAAATGGAACAAACCATTCGTGAAGTAGAAAGTACTATATCTTCAGGGTCGAAAGAAGTGAGCGCAGCAACTTAAACGATCAAGCAATCTTGAAAATCAGTCGCATCATGAGCATCAACAAAGGGGCCAATGGGAAGTTGCCAATCAAAGGTTACGAAGAGGGAGACGAAATAATAGTGCAGTGCAATAATAAGCCGGAAGGACTTGAGTACTTGCGTTACGACGAAAAGCTGAGTAATCTCTTCAAGGAGTACAACGAAATACGAGACATTGCGGAGCAGGATCGCATGAAAGGCAAGAAATCGTTCAAACTTGCAGAAAACGTGTTACTTGCGCACAAATTGAAAGAAATCGCTTTGACGATTGGCGAATTCAATAAATCGAACGGATGGAAGATGTTCGATATACTTTCAACGGAATACAGGTTCAAGTGATTGTTCCTTCTCTTTTGTTTCATTTCAGGCGCAATTGGAAATCCGCTTAAATGATAATTTATTATTACTATTATTACTATTATTACTATTCTTATTTTTGATCAACTCAATTATCTTTCTGTTATGTCTATAAAAGTATACCCGATGATGATTGATGTCGACGATATTGTGGATAACGTTCTTTCTCTAAAACGGAAATACATTGAAGCAATCGGAGGATATCGTGGTGTTCTTGAACAGACTGAAAGCATGTTCATTATTGCTACAAAGGAATTGCGCGACATACTTGTATTATTCTACAAACGAAAGGACGTGAATCCGTTTGATATAATCCAATTTTCATATTATTCTTGCAAAGTGTTAGAAATGTGTATCAAATGTACCGAAAAGAAAGAAATCTTTGATATCGTTGATTTCATGCTCATCATAACAAAGATGATTGAAAACTACGTTTCATTAAAACGGAAATTGATTAAAAAACAGGTTTCAGACCACTTGTTACAAGATGATGATTCAACAATAGAAGAGGGATTTTATTTCAATTGATTCTTAACTTAAACGAATTTGATTCACTTAAATCGTAATAAGGTCTTCAGTTTTCATGATGTTGAACTGATTCATAGAAAAGTGGACTTTAGATCCTTTGATCTCAACAAAGATGTCATCACATGCGTAAATAGCTTTCTCTGGCTCAAAAACTACAGTACATGGATATTTCACTTCAATTGGCTTTCCCCTTGCTTTTGATGATACGACAATTCCATCTTGTAATAATCCCATGTTGCAAAAACTTGTGATCAAAATTGTCTCCCCCAAAGAGAACTTATCCATGTTGTAAGTCGTTTGAGTCCCATTCTCTAGAATTGGTTGTATTGGATATTCAACAGTTATCCATTTACAAATACTATTGACATTGATCATTGTTTGGGAGTAAATAGTCTTTGTCAATTCAACCTTTTCGTCCTTTAAGTCAAGTGGACAATTTGCATCTACATTGAATAATGAGCTTCTTGTAAATGAAACCGTATCGAAGTTTGTTTCAAAAAACCCATTACAAAGAGTCATTTTTCTGAAAGTCATGTTTTTTTCGGAAACTGTTACAAAGGACAGGATTGGATGCCAGTCACTTGTTGTTCCGGGATTCATTTCATAAACAGTAGCTGTTTTCTCATTCTGTTTGCTTGTGATCACAAAGAAGTGTACGTTCCCAGTTGTTGAATATGTTTTTGTCCCGTTTCTTTTGTCTTCTGCAAAGATGTATAATTCCGGGACAATAAATCCGTATTGGACTCCCCTGCACTCAAAGTGAAATGTCAGGATTCCATCTTTTTCGATCTGTTTTTCGATCTCGTCGTCGTCGAAGTTCTCCATTTTCTCTTTTCGAGAATAGCAGATCTTCTTCTGTGCGAGGTCGTCATTCATGTTCTGCTTGTAGTACTCGATTTCCTCTGCAACGTCGACAACGGAGTCTGCACTTAAGACTTCCTTTGGCTTTATGATTCCTGCTCTTTTGACTCGTCTCATTGATTAAAAAGATCAGATGAAAATGAAAAATGAAAAATCAGTTACACGATTGGGATTTGTTGGAATCGTTGGATTGTTATTTCCTTGTCTTCATTACAATTTAATTCTGAAACCATTGTGAAGTATTTGATGTGAAGCTGTGCTTTCTTGTTTATGAGGTCCTTTGCTTCATTCTGGAGATGCAAGTCTGCTATCTTACGGTCGATATCTTTCATCTTGCTGATGATTTCGTTGTAACTGCTTCGCAATGTTTCTATTGCATCGGGTGATTTTTGGTCTTTCTTAGGCTTCTTTTCAATAATATCCTTTCGTACAATTGGTCTTGCAAGTCTTCTAATCATTGTTTTTTTAGTTTTGCCAAAAAATATACAAAACAAATTTATTTTTCCCCGTGTATTACTATTTCCTTATCATGATATACAAATGCCATGTGTTCGATCAGATCAAGCAGGAAAAGACAAGGAACAATGTTACTGTATTTAATCCGATTAATTTTGATTTCCAAGAGAATATCTTCCTTAGTACAAGTGCCAAACTTATCGAGGATTCCATTTATATCCTCCCAAGCATAATTTGGGAGAAGTAAGTATTTTGACCATTCCAGATAGTAATTCATAGTATTTTCAAAAGAAGAGTACTCTTGTTGTGAAATGCTCATTGATCAACAAGATCATAGATAGTGCATTGAATTTTAGATTGAACTGATTCAAAATGTGGTCCTCTGGAGTGAGTCAAACACTTGATGCAAAACATCTTTTTGAAAGCATCGAAATCGAGAATTGTATCTCGTGGGAATTTGAAGGGAAATCATACTTCATAAGCTATGGTAAGAAACCAACTCCTAAAGAAACATTTGTCTTGATAACGCACCAAAACATCCAATATGACGTTCTTGTAAAGAAAACAATACTTTCAGAAGTCCACTTTATACGTGGGTTCCAAATATACGATTATGAAGTCCGTGACATTGTTGCAACAATAAACACAGAAGATGAAGATGTCTTTGAAAAGCGGATTTTGAAGTACATTCTTACGCCAATGATCAACAGCATCCGAATCCTTCATGAAAAGAAGAGAGTCCAGTGGATGCAAAGGCACCTCCCAACAACAGTAATTAAAAGGTATGGACAAAACTTGTCACATCCGTTCTTCGAAGCTTTTAACACGTATCTTGAAGACACCTTTGAAACACGTTCAGATAGATACAAGGGATTCATCTATGTTGGGGCGTCAAAGACGGGAAAAACGTTCTTCTTCGACAGAATGCTTGTTCCAGAAAAGTATCGAGTAATCCACAAGAACCTCCTTAGTTTCAATGATGTTGGCGGGGAACAGTACAAACTATTTCGAATCCTAGATGATATCAACTGGGCAGACGTAGACTCGGAAACACTAAAGGCACTGTCAACAGAGGAGTAGCTACTACTAACGTGAAGTATGGGTATAGTTACATCTTCCCACTGATTCCAATCTTCCTCATGAACGCAAACACGTACGACATCTTTCGGATCAGATACAAGAAAATATGGTCCTTCATCCAGGAAAACTTCACGGTCTTTCCAAAACAAACGGGTGACAGTGTGATTGAAGACAAACAACTCCTGTACACAGGAACGGAAACAGACGCATATTACATCGAAAACTACATCAAGGACTGCAACTTCGAATCACTCTACAACGGAAACAATATGATCGAATCTATCCAACAGAAATGGAACACCATGAACAAACAACTGCGATACATCCCATTCCCAGAAACATTTGATATTCCTAATCCACATGAAAGGTATTCAAATCTTGAAACGGAGTTCAACCAGAAGAACCTCGAGCACAAGATGGAAAAACTCTCCGGAACCGAAATGATGGACAGATACGACGATGACAGAACGTGGATGTCCGAAGAAGAAGAAGACGGAAACGATAAAAATGATAGTTCCGTAATAGAATAATCTTTACACATTATGCTTTTTGCAAAAAATAACAATTGATCTACTTAATCATAACAATGATCTGTGTTTTGAACGGGTTAGATTTATTAAATTCTGATTCTCTTATTTATTATTATGATGTTATTAATTATATAAGTCTTTGCTACAAAAAATATTATAAGAAAGACTGTATACTTTCTACAATCAAAAATAGTGACGGTGAAGATCCAATTGGAGTTTATTTCATTTATAAATATGAAGACAAACGATATATTTATGCCGAATTTGAAAGCATGTTCATGGTTGGAAGTGGAACAGATTTCAATATTGTTGGGAAACCAAACTATTCATTTAATGAAAAAGAAGAAGAAGAAATAGACTTTCAAAAAATATTAGATAATAATAGTAATATGCTCAAATTTGGAGGGAAAATTCACTCGGACAAGTTTGGATCCAGGTACGACGAATTTATTCCGGGATGGGAAAGAAACCAGTATACTCAAATGAAAGTCATTAATTCTGCTTTAATTTATAAAAGAGATGTGAATATAAATCCGATGTACAATGTTAATGTTTGTCCATTTGGTGCTGATTTCAATTGCGGTATTTATACAAAGTATATTTTTAAAACAGAAAAAAAAGATTATTATCTTGGACTAAATATTGAAAAAGATAAAGCTTCCATTATTCTCTCTAATCAAATCGGAAACCCATTTGTGATATCAAGAAGATGCGAGGATGGAGGTAAACTACTAGTATCACAAACAAACGATGTTTTATACGATGACGACACTTGGGTCATAATAAGTGAAGAAAATGGAATTCACTTGAAATTCAGGGACGACGGTACCGGAATTACTCTTCCAGAAGGACCATGGATTGAGGTGGTACAGACACCAACACCACCGGGAGGAACATGTACAAAAGAGGAACAGAAACAGGTTTGTTCAAACAACGAAGCGGAAAAGGAACAGGAGAAACAGGTACCACAGAAGGAAGAAACGATTGAACCCCCGCAAAAGGAAGAAGCAAACGAGAAAGTTGCAGAGTCACAAGAACCAAAAATAGCACAACCGCCAAGAAGAAGAGGGTTCTGGTAAACAATAATTAAATACTTTTTGAACTTTATAATCGGATGGCAAAGGTAAACAGTGGAACATTTTTGAGTCAAATAGACAAGATAGAAGCGATTGATAAGAAGATAGAGATTCTAAAGAAGAAGGCAAGATCAGGAGACAAGTCAAGTGAGAATGAAATGGTGAGTGAGATAGCACACAAAAAGATCGAGCAAAACATTCTCGACATCATTACAAGTAACACCCACTGTGTTCTGACGGAAAAGACAATCTCAGTCACCGATAACGGGAAAATAACAGGAACGGGGGAACAGGCATGTCGATTTTTGAGAACACTAAGAAAAGGAAAGAAATACGTCATGAGAGAAAATAACGATGCAAACGTGATCTACCACGAAACAGATATCATGGTTTTGGACGACTTCATGAGAGCACTTGAGGAGACAAGAGCAAAAGCATTCTACGTGAAGAAGATCGAAGCAGAGCTCAAGAACCCGGACATTTCCGTTGCACTAAACCTCTCACTCAGGCAGCTTGACCCGACCGTCTGCGAAAGCCAAGACATACAGTATTATATCGATGACGCGTCTAACAACCAAGATATCGGGGTTTCTGGGTGCGCTCTTATAAAAAGCTACAATCCGGAACCAACAATCACGGAAAACAATGGGAAAGTATCTACAAATACAAGTCATCTGATCAATACATCTTTGATGAATCAAATTGAGTCGATTAAGTACCCTACATATTACGTCGTTGCAGGAAGCTTTTCTGGGGTAAGAAACTACGAGATGAAAATCACTATCGAGGTTGCTCTCTTTTCAGAAACGGTAAATTAAATTAAATTGAATTAAATTAAATTAATTCTTTCCAATTATGTGTGTTTCGTTCGGGGATTCGTCACGTATGATTATTGTATTTCTTGCAATGTGTTCCTTTGTCTTTCTTTTGTATATATCCAGAAGCGTTGTAGTGTATTGAGACAGCTTGAAGAACATTTCACACGCGATTTCATAGTCTTCTTGGGTGGTTTTAAAATTAGTTTTATTGTCGTATTTGGAACAAAGATTTGACATTACATCCCATATAAATTCGAAGTCTTTCGCAAGTTCTTTGTATTCGTATGATTCTGAAATGTAATCATTATTCGAAACAATCATTTTAATCAGTGAGACATTCCAGAAAAATTTGCATATATTCTTGATGATACTTGTAAACATAAAGTAGTGTAATCCATACATTTCTGTTCCAAGGGTTTTTCCTATTTCTATAATCATATTTTTAATGTACTCCTTCTCTAAATCTATGATACTAAATACATTAAAGGTTTCTTCAATTGTAATCAGTTGAAGGTGATAATTATTTTCATTTCGTTCAATGAACTTATCGTATGTTTCAAAGAATGCTTCGTAGTAATTGTCATAGTTGCTGAAATCCGAGGAAAGTGCCATTGGAAAACTAGTTCGAGTTCTCGATAAAAATGGAAAAAAACTATTGGATTATTATGACATCCTTCTTTTCACGTTTTTCTTTCCAAAGTATGTACGCAGTATCAACCGTGTTAAAATACACATCAAACACGTTGACAATTTCATCGTACTTGCCTGTTTTCACTAGATGTTCGATTTTGTTCTCTCCACCAATTCGAGCTCCTATTTCGTCGAACAGTTCAATGCATGTTTCAATGTTCTGTTTTATATTCTGGAAAGAATTGATTTCTCTTGTAATGAAATTTTTCATTCCTTTAACAATATAGTTTGCTTTTTTTGCCGTATCGTACAGAGTTAAAACGTGATCCTTCTTTCTCTTGAAGTTGTAATCCAATAGGATTTCTTCTGCTCTCAAAAACATGTTGTAGGTGATACTCCTATTCGACGCCGAAATTTCTAATATTTTTAAAAAGGTCATCGCTTCATATTTTAAATCGGCGTTTATTTTTTTGCACTCGTTCTTCGATTCAATGTAAACCATCCAATATTTTTCTATTTCGCTTTCTTTTACTCCAAAATTCAAATATGTAGTGATTTTTGTTTGGACAAGATGCTTTCTTTTCGACGGCTTCATCAAATGAAATAAAAGATAATTCATTTACAATCAAGAAAATCTTTGAACCATTTCTTTAAGTCAATCCCTGTTTTCTTTTCGAGTTCAGTCCCCAGCATAGCAACTCCTTGCAGGAACATACTCGTTTGGG